AATTCATAATATACTTTACAATGTTAGCTTGTTCAGTGCTCCCCAAAACCTATGCAGAAGATGCTATAAAAAGCCCCAGGTTACAGATGAGGAACTTTAGATACAGATGTTAAGTAACTTTAATACTGTCCTAGAGTGGACTTCATTTTGGCTGAAGTCAGCTCCCTTTCAGCTTGTACACAATTCCTCTCCCTGTGACATAATAGACATTTGGCCTAAGTTAAAAAGTAGTGTGTTGTTGGCCTTTATAAAAAAAAAAAAATACTCCTTACTGGATTTTTTTTTTATGTGATGAAAAAAACTTTTTTCTAAAAAAAAAAAAACAATAGCAAAAGACAAAATTTGATTGTTCTTTTGTCTCAATTTTTCTTGCTAAGAGTCTTTTTTAAAAAGTCCCGTTTTCTTTGTCTCAAGGCATTTTAGAGCAATTAGTATTTAAAGCAGTTCTGAAAGTCCTGGAATTTCATTGCTGGCTATGTGCTATGCACCTAACTCTTCAACTTAGTCCATTATTTTATAAATAATTATACTTATTTTTTCAGTTCACAGAAGTGAAAATACAAAATAAGCAACACTAACTAAAACTGGTCATATCAAATCAAAGCATCAACCTGTAAATTTCAAAATAGGGTATGTATATGTAACGATGGAACCAAATACATATATGCAGGTGTGAAAATGTCAAGAGCGGGAACATTATTCCTATCTCTTACAGAAAAGGAAAACAGAATAGTTTATCGAAATGAAATTGTTAATTACGTTCAACAAGTAAATTCTAATTACACTGGCTATTTCCTCCATACTTCCACAATTCAAGTATTGATCAGCATCTGATGAAGTGTGGATCACATAGCTAAATTCCATGTCTCTATAAGGATAAAGAAGTTACCAGCCGTGTTGAGATATTCCAATATTTTAAGAACTTTTATAAGTTAGAGAAAAGAAAATATTCTCTCTTCTCAATATAGCATCCTCAACCACATATGATGAAAACTTTTGGGGTTTATGATTCATTGTGGTTTTTGAAATATTTTTATGGAAAAATAAAAACTCAAACTCATTGCCATCCAGCTCACTCTTCTTCTTTTTTTTAAATTAAACTTTCAGATATGGGCTTTTTAAAAAGTTCACAAAGATATGTTTTCAGAAGCAGTTAATCTCACGGAAGGAGATTGCCCATCCTTCTCCCATGGGGCAGCTGGTGGCTTCCAACAACAAGCCTTCGAGATTTGCAGCGTGACTTCGTGCTTATAGCCATGCTCCACCAGGTATCCAAGGCTGTAAATCCTAATGAAAACCACTGGAGTCTCAAGACCTTTTGCATAACAGCACAAAGTGCTTTGGACTGTAATACTAGAGCTCCTTAAGAAAAATGTAATTGTGTTTAACAACTTAAATGTTTTTGTAATGACATTTTGCATTCTTCATGGATGATATTCTTGATATCCTTCCGCAGCTCATCTGGTCTTCACTCATTCAAGGCCTCAATCCCGTTTCTGAGACAATTTTTCAATTCAGATGGGATGAACTCAAGGCCAAATTTTGGCTCTTGTGGACCTGATTCAATTTTTTTAAAATTTTATTTTATTATTTTGTGTGTGTGTGTGTACCGTCAAATTGGATCTGACTGGTACAGGAGGAGATTGCCCCTCCTTCTCTAGCAGAGCATCTGGTGGATTTGAACTGTTGATTCAATTTTCTTTAGCTTCAGTTTGAACTTGCATATGAAAGTTGACAGTCTGTTCCACAATTAGCACTTGGCCAAGTTTTCACAGTTGATATTGAGCTTCTCCAAGTGATTCTTTACACAGGTATAATCAAGCTGATTCCTGTGGAGACCATCAGGAGAAATCCATGCATATAGTTGCCCTTTTTGTTTCTTATAAAGGGTATTTGCAGTGAATAAATCATTGGTTGTACAAAATTCTTTCATTCTATTTCTAGCCTCCTTTCTGTCAGCAAGTCTGTTTTCTGACTACTGATCTTCCTGAGTACAGAAATTATCAAACAATATCACTAATATCACACACAAGAAATATCCTGATGAAGATTATACAAAATCTACTGGAACAGTACATTGACAGAAAACTGTCACAAGTATAAGCTGGGTTTAGAAGAGGCTGTAGCACTAGGGATATCATAGCTAATGTCAGATGGATCTCAGCTGAAATTAGACAGTATCACAGGAATGTCTACCTATGTTACATTGACTAAGCAAAGGCATTTTACTCTGTGTACCATAACAAATTGTAGCTAACACTGAGAAGAATGAGAATCACAGAACACTTAATTGTGCTCTTGTGAAATCTATTCTAAGACCAGTAAGCAGTCATCAGAACAGAGGAAGGAAACACTGCATGGTTCAAAAACAGGAAAGTGATCCATCCTATCTCCATAACTTTTCAATCTATATGCAGAATAGACCATCCAAGAGGCTGCACTTTATGGGGAGACTGGCTCAGGTTAGGGCAGAGTTCAGTGCTTTTGTACATAGGTATGAGTCACAGGTATTTTGACGACACATAAGAACAACAACAAGAACAACAACAACATATCCCCAGGGTGGCTGACACATAAAAGGCCATATCTTTTGTCTAGGAGACAACACATTTTCCCAAGTTTAATTTTACTATTTCCGAACATTAGTGTACTAGCAGGACCAAGGTATGGGTAGAATCTAAGCATTTTAATTTCTGCATTTTTGAAGAGTCCTCAAATGGCACTGAAGTTGGCCTTTGAATATACACACGTATAAGTATGAAGCCTTCAGTGTACATCCAACTATTTGGAGTCTCATAATGCCTCACAGGACCTTGTACTTTGTGTCCCATCTTGTCTAAAGAGGGAGAAGATGTGTTTATTCCTTTACTTTGGGTCTTGGACCAAACCTTATTTTTCAAACCGCACCATTTTATAGATAATTTATTAATAGCAAGAACACAAGATTTGTTTGAAACCTCAGTTGCCATGCAGGGTGGAGCTGCATCCCACAGAGTTTTCAATGGTCATTTTTTCAAAAGGAGATTGCCAATCCTTTCTTTCTCAGCATCTTAGGAGGACTACAATACCCAATCCTGCCCCTCCTTTCCTCAGGAACAAAGAGCACCTTACATTACAGCACCATCCGGGAATTCCTTTACTTAAAGTTGTTGTTAGGTGCAGTAGAATTGAATACGACTTACAGTGACCCTATGAAACCTGTTCTATCCCTCATCATCTCTGACATACTCAAGCCCACTGCAGCAGTCACTATACCAATTCATCTGGCTGCGGGTCTTCCTTTCTTTCATGGATCCTCCACCTTTCTAAGCATGATGTCTTTCTCTAAGGACAAGGCTATCCTACCAACATGCTCAAAGTAAGTGATGTGAAGCATTACTACTTTTGCCTCTGAGGAGCACTCCATCATCACATTTTCCAAGATATATCTGTTTGTTCTTTTGACCATCATGGGACAGACTCCAACACCACAACTCAAAGGCATCAATTCTTCTTCTGTCATTGTCATTGACTGTCCAGCTCTCAGGTGCATAGCTAGTGATTCGAAAGACCATAACTGAATCAGAGTACACTTTAGTCTTCAAATTGACATAAATTCTCTTCAGTAGTTTAGAAATGTCTCTGACACTGGACTTGCCCAAAACAATAGGCCTTCTGATCTGCTTACTGCTGGTACCAAGCATGTTGATTTGGACCCAGGTAAGATGAATTCGTTGAGTTTCAATCTTTTCTCCATCATGATGTTGCCTGTGGGTGGAGTGATGAGAAGTTTTGTTGTTTAAAAGGAGGAAGAGGAGGAGGAGAAAAAGAAGGAAAGGAGGGCGAGGAGGAGGCAGAGAGAAAGAGGAGGTGGAGAAGGAGAAGTAAAAGGAGGTGCAACAGCTTCAACCTTTAACATCAAAGACTGCAAAGGCAGTGCATACTTTGCATTATTTTAGCTCAGTATTTCGGAAGGAAATCATAGCTGCTTTTTCTCCTGCGTGTTTACATATTTACATACTAGGCGTTTGCAAACGAACCAAAAGACTGAAGTTATAACTCACCCAGCAGTGCCCAGAGGAAAGGCAGGATGATGTACTTCCAAAGGGTGAAAATCTTGAAACCCCTTTGGAGTGCAGTTCTAGGCCGCGCACGTGGGGGCGCTAAGAGTAGGAATCGACTCTACCGCAGGTTTTTGTTTTTGTTTTTTTGTTTTGTTTTGTTTTTTTAAGGGGGAGGAGGAGAGGATATTTATATTTTGTTTGCCATCCGGTTTGGTAGGGGTATGTTTTTAAAGTCTCTCAGCTTTTCCCAATATTCCACAATTTTCATCAAACAACAGTTTAAAGACGTAGGATTTAACCTCGGGGGCTGCTGCAGGTCCTCTGGTCTCCATCTAGGACTAACACCCATCCTCGCCCTCCTCTCCCACGGACCTGTATCCCCTCCTAAGGTCACCCTCAAAACTGCGACTCTGAGGTCTGCAGCTTCCCTTCTTTGCCTCCAGTCCCAGGACATCAGCCCGGGTTCAACTTTAAGAGTTGGAGGGACCGCTTGCGCGTTTGGCTGAGGGGGCTGCTGCTGCTTGCAGGCCCTCTCCTTTCACCCCTCCCCGAATGAGGGGGAGACGAAGGGGATTTGGAACACACCCCTAGTGGGGGCTTTCCAGTAGCGGGCCGGGGCTGGCGTGTGCGGGGGAAGACTCGGACGAAGCAGGCCTTCTCCACCTGCGTAATCACAGGCTCCTAGAGCCGAGGCGGCGGTGGCGCGGGGAGGAGGAGGAGGAGGAGGAGGAGGAGCGCAGGCAGGGGCGCGGGGCGGGAGCGGGAGGAGGAGGAGCCGAAGCGCCGAGAGCGGCAGGCAGCGGCGGCGCGGCCGGAGTTGCAGCAGCGGCGCGAAGACACCGCATCCACCCCAAGTCCGGAGCCCCGGCGAGGGCAGAGCAGTGAGCGCCCGGCCGCTCAGCCACCGCACCTCGGTCCCGCCAAGCCGCTGCCGCCGCGCCCCCGGGCCCGCCAGCCATGGCCTCGCCGCCGGTTCCGCAGGACGAGCTGCTGCCGCGGGCCGGCCCAGGGTCCCAGTGGCTCGGGGACCTGGGGGAGGGGGAGAACGAGGCGGGGACGCCGGCGGGGCAGCCCGGCCGGGGCTCGGGCGACGGCGCCGGGGAAGCGGGGCGGCGGGAACCCGGTTCGGGCTCCGCGGGGCCGCCGCCCGTTGCCATGGAGACTGCATCCACAGGTAAGGCAGGCGGGAGCCCAGCTAATGGCGTCGGGGACGTGGGTCCCCAGCTGGCCCCCTTCTCCGCAGCTCCCTGCACCTTTCTGGCGCTACCTTAAGCAGCAGCCCTACCCCCCCCTTCGCCAGGGCGAACTGTGGAAAACAACAATTACGCTTTTCCAAAGACTCGCAAGAAGACAAAATAGTACTGATCATCATCATCATGTTTGTAGAAGTATGCCCGTAAGCAATCGCAGTATCTTGACAGCTGGCGCCCGGGTCCAAGTTTCTTTCCCCCTACTCAAGGCTGTATGGGCCGCCTGGCAGGTTGTGATGATTTTCTGGGGCGTGTTTGCGCGCGGCGTGCGCACCAGCGAGAAGGGGACGCTGGCAACAAAGCGTTGGGCAGGCCCTCTGTCTGTGTATCCTGGGCTTGGTCCCGGCGGATTTTACCCTTTTCCTCTGAGATTAGCACACTTGCATCTCAGTCCCACTTTCTACTCCCACCCTCCATCTCTCTCTCTCTCTCTTTCATTCACCCACGGAAAACGGAAATCCCAAGAGTGTGTATGTACACATTCAGGAGGGGCAGCGTTGCAAGCGGGGTGGGCGTAGTTGTCAGCCCCTGGTCAGAATCTCCTTTCTTTTCAATTGCCCAGATGCCCCCCCCAAAACTTGGAACTCTAACTGCAGTGGGTTGGCTGTGGTGTTGGAGGTTTTGGGTGCGTAGAAGAGACAGTTTGCCAGAAGCCTGGACCCACCTGGGCATTTGCAGGTTGCCCTGGACTCTTCCCCCGTAGCTTGAATATACCCACTTCTCCTTCCCAGTCAACCTGTACCCGTGCCAGGAGGGCATTGGGGTCCAGGTGCATCCTCTCTCCCAGTTGCTAGAGGCTACAGGGTTTACAGAGGCGCGCTTTGGGGAGGGGCTATCGGCCTGGTCTGTATGAATGTTGTGTGTGGTGGTGTTCTTTTAGAAAGCTTTGCTATGACGGATTGGGTTTCTGGGGATGGTGGGTACGATCAGAGGAGAAAGGGATGAAGGCCAAGACTGATCTGAATTCTCTTGGCCACTGATTTGGGGGAACTTCTCTAAGACAACGCCTCTATTGATGGGTTCTGTATAATGGTTTAGGCCGTCTTAATGCTGCCCTAGTACAAAAGATCTGGGCTGTAGAAAAGAGTTTTGGGGAATGAATTGAGTAAAAGATGCTAACATCTTTTGGTAAAAAAGAGGGCTATCCATGACGAAGCAAAGAAAGAAGAAAAGATTATAAAGCTGTAAAACTCCTTTGGCCATACATACATCAATTATTATGTTTCAGAGTAAGAAAAGGATTTATGTCCGAAGATTGATGTCCAGCTTCTCTTTCATCTTCTAGATCTGCACAACCACCAAATAACATAAACTCTTTTTAACCGGAGATGATAGCTTTACTGAAATGAAGGTAGTTTTTATCATTACTACTCTTCATTGAGGAGAGCTCAAAGTTCAAACTCTTTTACCTGTTGTAACGAAAGCTCTTTATAAATGTTAACCGTTGTCACTAAGATTAGGTGGAGTAGATGCCTTGTATTTATAATATGCTATCCACTGCAATGAGTTATTATTTCTAAAAATATTTAGAACAGTTCCTGCCACATAGCAAACGTTTGCTATGTAAAACATTATTAGTTGTTGTTGTTATGTGCCATCGAGTTGCTTGCGACTCATAGCGACCCTATGTACAACAGCCCTAAACCCTGCTCTATCCTATGCCAATCGTACTGCCTCTGACACACCCATCCCGATTATCCCAGTCATTGAATCAGTCCACCTCATAGACGGTCTTCCCCTCCTGCACCGTCCCTCCACCCTTCCAAGAATGATGTCCCTCTCCAAGGACCTCTCCTTCCTTACAACATGTTCAAAGTATAAGATTATTTTATGTTTTGTTAAATTGTTAGAGGAATCTGAGGCTCAGATATAGTAGAAGAAAAAAAATCAAGCATGCTGCTTAGCTTGGGTGGAAGGAGAATGAGGGGAAAAGGAACACACATTTTGCATATTAATTTAGACAATTCTTAGTATATTATTGTTACATGAAGGAATTTCTCACTTGGTTGTTGAGTTGTTTAATGTTTTACATCAGAATGCTTCTTATGAAGTAGCCTGGGAAGACTGTTATGAGAGACATCCATGCCTGAAGTTATATCTAAATAAATAACTAGATCGTGAAAAAGTGACATTAAATCTGGGCCAACTATCACATCTGTTATTTCAGCAGTTCTCTTGCTGCGTGAAAAGTCAGCAGGTAAATCCTCAAGTTTATTAAAGATAAAACTCAGAAGCCTGCTTCCCCCCTGTTTTTTTTTAAAGAATGAGTAAAATTAAAAGTTACTTAGACATCTGAGGGCAATACACTGTAAACAGATTCTGTAACTTTTACAGATGGAATATTAAAATATAAGACAGATACTGATGTTTTAAAACCTGTTTTTCTGAAAACCACCACTGATCATGCCATCTGGGCACAAATTCTGTTATTTATTTTTATACGTTGATGATAATTAATGTTCCCAAAGCAACATTTCCAAAGATAGTTCTTAGTAATATCCTAGAATGAATATATGTTTAGACATCTTAAACATGGCACTGTCAGCACTATATGAAGCTCTTGTCAGCATTGTAATTGCAGGTATTTTAATTGCTTCTCGTGTGTGTGTGTGTGTGTGTGTGTGTGTGTGTGTGTGTTAGAGAGAGAGACAGAGACACAGACAGAGAGACAGAGACAGAGACAGACAGAGAATATTAATGGAATGTTTCCACAGAAATAACGTTCTCTTTTTTTTTTTAACATTCTCTTGTAAAACTATAGTATTTTGTGTCTAAACTTCATAATGGCATGTGAAATGAAAATCTATTGCCAATGGAAATTTATTGCTGTGCGGAAGATTCCAAATTAAAGTTAACCACCATCCTGTTTCTAAGACTGTACTCTTTACAGGAGGAGACTGTCCATGTTTCTACTGCTGAGTTTTGAGTGGATTCAAACTGCTGACTTTACATTTACCACAGCTCCTTGGCATCTTTTACCAAAGGGATATTGAATATACCATTTAATCACCAGATGTCAGCTACAGCATGGTGGAGTTGTAATCATGAATCTGTGCTATCATCTAATAACTTTCTACAGAAGATGTTAAGAACAATTGTTTTGTTTTTTCATGATCAGTTATTTTATTCCTGGAAACTATTCAAAAGGAGCATACACTAACAAAAGGATAGAAGAATGGCTCTTTGTTTAAAGGAAGAATTTAAAATAGAACATTTGAACAAAATGAAATGAGAAGAATTTAACTCCTTAGTTGCTTTGGAAAGAAACTCATTGATGGCTTTGTGCATGGAAGACTAAATAGAGAACAGAATGGAGAATGGTCTGGAGAAATAGATCCACTTGGTGCTAGTGGCTAACCTGTAGGACTGCTAACCGAAAGATTGAGGGTTTGAATTTCCATGTTGCTCCGCGGGAGCTTCCTGCAAAGATTTATAGCATTTGAAGTCCAATAGAGGGCACAAATTGACCCCATGGCAGATGTGTGGGTTTTGGTTTATAGATAATCTTATAATCTTGGTTTACAGACAATTCTACTTAAATTTCTTGATAATTGACAATTCTTCCCCAATTTATTTTACTTTGATCACATTGCTTAAAAATTTGCCTTATATATGTATGTATTACAGAAGTTATATATGTCTAAGTGTATTGTTATACATATATGTTTGTTTTTGTTGTGTACTATCAAGTTGGAACCAACCCATAACTGATTCTCTGGCAGCTTTTCAGAGGCAGTTAATTGAATGGGAGGTAATTGTCCTTCTGTGGAGCAGCTGGTGGAGTCGAACCATGTGCCTTTTATACTGTAGCACAGCTTCTTACCACTATGATTATTCATATATAAAAGACATATATAACTTCTGTAATACATGTGTGCAAGATACCTGTTTCTTCTATGTTGTTGTTAGCCGCCATCGAGTTGAGTATGACTCATAGCGACCCTATGAACAAAACATCTGAAACCAGTCCTGTCCTGCGCCATCCTCACGCTTTGTGGCACACAAAAGCCCATTATAGCAATCACCTTGTCAATCCACGTGGTTCAGGGTTTCCCTCTTTTTTGCTGACCCTCCACTCTTCCCAACATCATGTCCATCTCCAAGGAATAGCACCTCCTAGTAACATGTCTAAAGTATGTTAGGTGAAGCCTCATCACTCTTGCCTCCAAAGAGCACTCTGGCTGCACCCTCTCCAAGACATATCTATTCATTTTCTTGGCCATCCATGGAATGTTCAGTGCTCTTCTCCAACACCACAGCTCAAAGGTATCAATTGTTTTTCTGTCATCCTTATTCATTTTCGAGGTCTTGGGTGCATAGCTAGTAATTGGAAAGACCATGGCCTGAATCAGAGACATCTTAGTCCTCAAACTGACATCACTTCTCAGTAATTTGGAAAGGTCTTTTAACTGCAGATTTCCCCATTGCAATTCTTCTCCTTGTTTCCTGACTGCTCGTACCAATGGAGTGAATTGTGGATCCAAGCTAGATGGAGCTGTTGACAGTTTCAATCTCCTCTCCATCTATCATGATACTGCCTATTGGTCCAATGGTAAGAATCTTTGTTTTCTTGATATTGAGACAGAATCCATACTGAAGACTGCATTCTTTGTTGTTCTGCAACAAGTGCTTCAAATCCTCCTCACTTTTAGCAAGCATTACACAGATGATTCTCCCTCCAATCCTGATGCCACATTCCTCTTCATATAGTCCAGCTTCTTAGATAATTTGCTCAACATATAGATTGAACAGATAAGGAGACCAAATACCTCCCTTACGCACTCCCTTCCCAGTTCCAAACCATGTAGTGCTCCCCTGCTCTGTTTACATAACAGCCTCCTGATCCATGTATAGGTTCCAAATGAGCACAATCAAGTGCTCTGGGATTCCCATTCTTCTCAATGTCAGCCACAACTTGTCATGA